ATTAAGCGAAGCAAAGTAAAATGACCTGCCCAGGAAATTCAGTTTCTAGGTATAAAGTGTCAAGATGGCTGTCATCCACATCCCGACAGATGTAGTCAACAAAATCACTGCCATGTCTGCAGCCTTATTGTAAGCGACATGGAAGAAGAATGACTTTGTGTGGGGTCCTGAGCAGCAGCAGCCTTTTGAGCAGATTAAACAAGAAATAGTCCATGCTGTGGCCCTGGGGCCAGTATGGATGGAACAGGATGTAAAGAACATTCTCTACACTGCTGCTGGAGAGAAAGGTCCCACTTGGAGTCTGTAGCAAAGAGCCTCAGGAGAGACCTGAGGCCAACCCCTCAGGTTTCTGGAGTTGGGCGTACAGGGGGCCGGAAGAGGGCTACACTCCATGTGAAAAGGAGATCTTAGCTGTGTATGAGGGGGTTCGGGCTGCTTCCGAAGTAGTCAGTACGGAAACACAGCTCCTTCTGGCACCTCGACTGCCAATGTTGATCTGGATGTTCAAGGGAAAGGTTCCCTCCACCCATCATGCTACTGATGCCACTTGGAGTAAGTGGATTGCGTTGATTACGCAGTGAGCGTGGATGGGGAACCTCAGCTGACCAGGGATCCTAGAGGTCATCATGGACTGGTCTGAAGGTAAAAAGTTGGGAACATCACCAGCAGAAGTAGTATCACATGCTAAAGAGGCCCCACCATACAATGAACTACCAGAGAATGAAAAGAAATATGCCCTGTTCACAGATGGATCGTGTCATATTGTGAGGAATCATCACTGATGGAAATCTGCTGTGTGGAGCCCCACACGACAAGTTGCAGAGGCCACTGAAAGGAAAGGCGAATCAAGCCAATTTGCAGAGGTAAAGGCTGTCCAACTGGCCTTAGATGTTGCTGAACGGAAGAGGTGGCCAATGCTTTATACTGACTCATAGATGGCGGCAAACGCTTTATGGGGGTGGTTACAACAATGGAAAAGAAAGGGTAAATCTATTTGGGCTGCTCAACTGCGGAAAGATATTTCTGCCCAAATAAAGAATATGGTTATAAAGGTGCACCATGCAGGTGCCCAAGAATCAGACTACTGAAGAACAGCAAAATAACCATCAGGTAGATCGAGCTACCAAAATTAAGGTGGTTCAAATAGACTCAGACTGGCAACACAAGAATGAATTATTTCTAGCCCAGTGGGCCCACGAGACCTCAGGCATCAAGGAAGAGATGCAACATACAGATGGGCTACAAACTTAAGGGTGGACTTAACTATGGATGCTATTGCACAGGTTATCCATGACTGTGACACATGCACCACAGTTAAACAAGCCAAGAGGATGAAAACTCTCTGGGGGGATGGACGATGGCAAAAGTACAAATATGGGGAGGCATGGCAGGTTGATTATATCACCCTGCCACGATCTCGCAATGGTAAGCGTTATGTGCTTATTATGGTGGAGGCAGCCACTGGGTGGCCTGAAACATATGCAATACCCCATGCTACCGCCCGAAACACCATATTAGGTCTTGAGAAACAAGTCCTGTGGTGATGCGATGCTCCAGAAGGAATTGAGTCAGATAATGGGACTAGTTTCAAAAATTCTCTAGTAAATACTTGGACCAAAAATCATGGCATCAAGTGGATTTATCATATCCCCTATCATGCACCAGCTTCTGGTAATATTGAAAGCTACAATGGGTTGTTAAAATCCATGTTGAAAACAATGGGTGGCAGAACATTTAAGCATTGGGAGAAGCATTTGGCAGAAGCCACCTGGCTAGTCAATACTAGAGGACTGATCAATTGTGATAGTCCTGCTAGCTCCCTACATACTGTCAAGGGAGACAAGGTCCCTGTAGTACATGTAAAGAACATGCTAGAAAAAGCAGTTTGGGTCTCTCCAGCTTCTGGGAAGGGCAAACCTCTGCATGGAACTGTTTTTGCCCAGGGATCTGGGTCCACTTGTTGGGCGATGCAGAAGAACAGAGATGTTCAATGAGTGCTACAAGGAAGTTTGATGTTAGGGGAGTGCAGTCAGTAATTGCATGTGTGTATACATAGGTTTGTGTGTGCGTGTGTTTAATGTTTGGTAATTATATTTTGTTTGTCTATATTAAGCATGATGTAGTGATGTAGAATAAGGGGTGGAATGTCATGGTTTTATGATTATTAGTTATCAATATTCCACATCATAACATCATGTGGGGCACTGGGAGTTTAACTGTTAATGCTCAAGTTTTGAGTACCTGCCCAGAAGAGAAGAACTACATTCCCCAGGGGACTTTGCGGTCACAGAGAAGAGATAGAACTCCTGGCAAGGTCACCTGATCCACTTTTTCATCTGCTCTTCTTCATCAGGTCTCCTCCTGTCTCCCTACTGCTGAACTGGACTGCGCATCTCACCTCAGTGTTATGGGTGAGGCCTATCCATCTTTTGGACATTCTCTCTCTCATTATATTTATTATCTTCAATTCTAATTATATTGTATTATGGAGTGTTATCTTGCATTCCGATGCTATATTCAGTAAATTAGTTTGTTTCTCCTCAGATCATTGCTGCTATTTTTAATTATATTGGGTTCCCCTGTTTCCCTTTTCCTGGAGGTGCAGATTTTGTGAAATCCCTCCTTCCCGCTAGTCACAGAAATGGGCCAAACCAGCCCGTAAACTTCTGACACCTACAATGCTGGTACGCCCTCACAAGCCCTTCTTTGTCTCACTGACTGGCAAATGTATCAGTTGTAATACAGAAAACCCTTAAGTTTGCTTTCATTAGAAAGAATGAAAAAAACAGTATACAAGGGAAGACTGGAAACCACTGAGGAACTACTGGCATCAGTGATCTAGGCAAGTGCTTATTCATAGCTTGTGAGTAATAAATTCTTAAAGGAAAGTGAGGAAGAGGCAGAAACAGAGCACAGAGCTTTTAAGGATGCAGTATGCATTAAACCAATATAAAGCAGTATTAAATGAAAATTCCGGAATCCATTACCTCCATCTACCTCTTTTCATTTAGTCTCATCTCTTGTTTTTCTTTATGGACTAAAGTTATTCAGAAAGGAGCAGATCTTTTTTCACAAGAAAAGATCACAGCTAATCACCCAGGTGCTTTCAAAAACTCCTGCACAAGCAGCTGAGCAACAAAAACATGTCAGAAACTCAGTGCAATGCCTTTAACTCTCCTAGTCTCACAGGGAACTGCTGCACAGTTGCAGAGAAGCATCTGCTACTATAGTCCTAAGTAAATCAAACTAGGATCAATGTAAGCTGGCAATAAAACAGCACAATCCCTTTGTGAATTAGTTTCTGATTCAGGATTAGAGATAGGAACACTGAGAAATGAGGTCTGTAGCCAGTCCCATAAATGCGGTCTTTGCAGTGAGGAAGTTTGCTTCAAACAGCACAGTGAGAGCCCAACAGCAAGCTCAGGGCCAATCCTAAATCACTGGGAGCAGAGTTCAGTCAAAATGCTAGGTGAGGTCTTTCAAAAAAGAAGAGAATGTTATCAACTGTAGTAGCCTCATATTTCATGTACATATTTTCTCAGTACTTTTTTCATTGGCTTTTCCAAAGAATGTGTAACTTGTCATATGACAGAAACATTAAATCACAGTCACCTGTAACTGCTTGTAAATGACAACTAATAAGAAAATTATAGCTATTTCTACAGAAGACATTACTATCAGCTGCAATTTTTTTTTTTTTTTTTTGAAACACCACACAATTTAGAACAGTCTTCTTAGAAGTGCCACAGAACTGATAGCATCAATAAAACCTGTTTCTATCCAAATGCTGATCATTTTGTAGGCAAGGTTAGTTGGTTTAGTTAGCATTATACAGCATTACATTAAGAGCTGTTGAAAAAACAAAGTGTGCTGCAGTAATTCAAACCCAAACACAATTTATAGGTGGAGGAGTAGTGAGAAAGAAATTTAGCAACTTAAATGTTGTTCTATAACATTCACAGATGGAAAAAATTACTATAGCTTTAATTTCTTTTTAATTAAGTACTAATGTGTGAAGTCTACTGAGTCTACTGCATTCGATCTTTAAGTTTAATAATTAGTAATATAATGCTGACATTACTGAATGTAATTAAAGTATTTACCTTGCAGTTAAAACAGACTTTTATCATCCAAATAATATAGCAAAAAATTTAAATCATCAACAAAAAGAATCAGAATTAAGATCCTTCACCTCTGTTCTGTGTGTGTGGGTGTGTGTGTATATATGTATGTATATATACAGAATGGTAATAATTTCTGAAGACACTTCATTACACTGAAGAGATCAGATTTTTACCTTCCAATGAACACTTCAGACCTATGGTCTCCCATCTTTCTAGAAGAACACTACAGTCAGCCATACACTATTACTCTGTTCTTCAAAACATATGTTAAGCAACAATATCTAAGAAAGAGCATAACTAAGAGATGCTATGAGAAAAAAAAAAATCCCTGCTTGGTGGGTAAGACCTTCAACAACTGAAGAGCATATGGGTTACATTCCGTTTCCCAGACTAACTTGAAAAAGCATTGGTATTCACTGACTTAAAGCCTTGCTGACAGAACTCTGCATAATAGTTAAGTTCCCTGTATAAAGCCAGAACAAATAAACTTTGTTCCAAGCAATTCTTAATTCTCTAAGCAGTAACTGGAATAGTACAAAACAGAATCTATGGAAAAGTAATTTCAACAGCCAAAAAATTACAGTAACATGAGTATTATGGAATCAAACTGTGAATGTGAACAAAAAAAAATTTTGTCAGTGCCTCCTGAATGTTTCATGTCTAACTGAAATGGAAGTGGCTCCCATGAGAAAGTTCAAATTTAGCACATATTTTTTAATATCTTATTTTCCAGCTGTCATTTTCTCACTTGCTTAAATGGAAGATAATAGGAAAAAGACATCTTGCATTCATCTCTTGCTTTGACAAAGCACATTTATTATGACAAAGTCTCACTGTACTTGTGTTTAGCCAGCTCACCTTCAGGTTTTTTCCTACCTTTATTCAACTTCAGCACTGCATCCAGCCTTCTAACACTACAAAACACTCTGGAGAGCCACTGATGGTCTTGCAAGTAAGGGGATAACTGAAGAGAATACATTTAGAAATTTTTATGCAAATTTTTATCTCCATTAAGTCTCTGGAAACATTAATACAAATTACTTAAAAAGCTGTCATGCTAGACACTCTCCACCAACAATCAAGAGGGAATGGTGTTTGGTCAGCCAAGAGAACACATAAACCTGGTGGAAAGTTTGAGAAGTCATGTAATAGTCTAAAAATACCTTCTTTATTAGGTGGAAGAAAAATCAGTAGCTCTTCAAATAAGTAGATTATTGTATAATCAATGAATATTAAGATGTTATAATTACAAAATAAACAAGAGAGTTTGGCAGAGCAGATTATGATAACAAAAAGAGGATAGATAGAAAGCTTATCCCTATCCTGGGCTCACTTACAAAACTCCAGCAGAGTAGATCTCCAGAAGAGATCCTTCCTCAGTGGTAGCCAGCTCTTAAATAGGTCTAGGAGCTATTGCCTGAATTGCCTTCACCTGTGCTCCTCTGGCTGACTCATTGGTCCCCTCAGATGATCAATCAGAGGTTCAGGCTATGACTCAGCAGTTCCCATACAATTATAAAACATGTTGTGTTAGAAAAGACCTTAAAGATCATCTAGTTCCAACCCCTCTGTTATGCGCAAGGACAAGTTCCACTAGACCAGGTTGCCCAAAGCCATGGGCACTGAATATTTCCAGGGAAGGGACATTCACACGTTCTCTGGGCAACCTGTTCCTGTGCCTCACCACCCTCTCCGTAGGCAATTTCCTCCTAATATCTCAACTAAATCTACCCTCTTTTAGCTTAAATACATTATCTCGTCTTATGACTAAACTCAGGTTTTGTCTAGGAAGGCCTCATTGAGGTCTGCCTAGAACTTTCTTTTCTCCAGGCTGAAGAATTCTAGCTCTCTCAGCCTGTTTCCAAAGGATAGGTGCTCCATCTCTTTGATCATCCACATGGCCCTCCTCTGGACTCGTCCCAACAAGTCCATATCTTTCTTACCAGCCCAGGATATGGTTAACTTCCTGGGCTGCAAGTGCACATTGATGTCTTGTGTTGAATTTTTCATCATCCAACTCCTCCATATTCTTTTCCTAAGGGCAGCTTTCCACCCAGCCTGTATTTTTGCTTGGAATAGCCCCAGCTCAGCTCTGGACCTTGGCACTTGGCCTTATTGAACTTCATTAGGTTCTCATTAGCCAAGCTTTCAAGCCCATCAAGGTCCCTCTGGATGCCATTCGTTTTCTCCTATGCATCAACTGCAGCACTTAGCTTGGTGTCATCCATAAACCTGATGAGGGAGCATTCAATCCCACTGCCCATGTCACCAACAAAGATGTTAAATAGTGCTAGTATCAATACAAAAACCTTAACCAATGCCATTTGTCATTGGTCTCCACTTGGACATTGAGCCATTGATAACTATTTGAGAGCAAACAAATCAGAACTACTCATATATGGCAGTCTTTATAGAAAGTATGCTGACAACATGAATGCGAGGTACAAGGACAGCTTTATCCTAAATTCCTATTCAAGACTGAATTTCTCAGCTCTGGTACCAGCATGCATCGGGAATGTTTACCTGGCAGGTATTGCCCACGCCATGGCTAAAGTACCCAACAGCCATACTTACTATATGTTTTAAAGGAATCAAGAAAATATTGAATGTTGATAAAAAGCACTTAAATCCTAAAATTCAGGCATGGATTTGAATGGCTTGAGCATGGGAGCAAGCTGAAAAAGTCAGGGCTCTTCAGCCTGTAAAAGAAAAGGCTCTAGGGGGACACTGTAACAGCCTTCCAGTCCTGAAAGGAGCCTACAGGAAACATGGGAAGGGACTTTTTATAACAGCATGTAAAAACAGGAGTTTGGGAAATGGCTTTAAACTGGAAGAGGGTAGATTTAAACTAGATACTAGGAAGAAATTATTGGTGTAACACTGGAACAGGTTGCTCAGTGAAGTTGTAGATGCCCCCTCCCTGGAGACCAAGGATTGTTCAAGACCAGGATGGATGGGGTTTTGAGCAAGCTCCTCTATAGGGCGGTGTCCTGGCCTACAGCAGGGAGATTGGAACTGGTGATCTTCAAGGTCACTTTCAAACAAAACCATTCTGTGATTCTCTGACTGGAGAAAATTACATATTTAAAGAATTCTTTATTCTTTGTATTTTAAAAAAGAAACAGCTTTGGCAGTCTCTTTATGAACAAAATAAAGTTGGAGTGTTCTTCCAGTACATCCTTTGTAATTTATTTCCTAACATTGATTCCAATAATTTCTCCATTACTCTTGAAGGCTGACCTTTCAGTGGCATGTTAAAGAACTAATAGCATCAACGGTAAATATAGCTTTTGTGTAGCAACACCATTCTTCATACCACTACATTGCTGCTTAACACAATATTACTTCTAGCTGTCACCATCTTAAAATTATCTGCTTTCTGCAGGAAATGTTTATAACCACACTAGTCCTTGAGAGATACAAGGCAGTACATTTTCTGCATTACTTTTCTTCATTATTTCAAATTAAGGTGATATGTGACAGTTATATCCCAGAGCATAAACTGTTGCATATGATTAAAATTAGTTTTCAACATTGTTTTTCTCCTTTTAGCTCTTTTTCCTTCGATTTCTGAATAACTTGTTTGTTTTTGTTTCTTTTGGAGGTACTTGAAGCTTCAATACAATGAAGAAGTTCCAGATGTCTCGCAGAACAAAGAGTAAATTTCAACTTCTACTAGACATAAGCTTATGAAACCTTAATCTATATCACACAAAACACTCTAAAGTAGTTTCACTTCAACAAATTCAAGATATATGTAACTGATGGAACAGTAAACAATTCAGAAGACACAAATGTGTCTGGGAAACGTCTAAGTTATGCCAGTAAGAAGAGAATTATCAGAGTTTCTAGTCAGTATAAGAAGCATGGGAGAGGTCCTTTACCTTATTATTAGGAAGAAAGGATGTGAGATTGATTTCGCTTTATAAAATGAGGGAAGTATCATAATTAGTTCTTAGAAAACAGTCTACAAAGCTAACTGAGAAAAATGGAGATATTTTTAAGAAACATCACCACTGCAATAAAATTGCTCAGAACTGTAAGCATTTTCCTCTCTCTTCCAGCTTACCAAGCAACATATGCTTTGAGATTTCAAAAATTTAACTGTTTGATCCTTAAATTTTTTTTTCCAATTAAGTACTTAGCAGATAAATGTTGATAGGGCAGTATATGTCTAGTAACTCAGTCACACATCCACAGTGTTCATGTAGATGGCAAAAGAGTATTTGCAGCAGCTCTAAAGAAATCACAGTCCCTGTGGAAAACCACTTTTTCTACACTCAAAAAATTCCATCAGATCTATTATGACTTTTAGGGGGTATTCAGTGAGTCCTGAAGAATTTATACCCAAGAACATCTGGATGGAATTAATTTAAAAAGCAAAATGCAATTATGTTAATTCCAGCTTTGGGTAGATGAGACTCTTTGTCAGGTATCCCAAGAACAGAAATACTAAATTATTAGCACTTACCCATATGCAAACAGATGCAGAGGTTTATGATATGGAGGAGAACTACCATGAAAGTTAAAGAAAAAATGGGTTAGCTACAATCACTCAGTGTCATACATCTATGCCTATTTTAGAAATTTTATTTTTCCTCAAGATAAAAAGTTAGGTTTGAAGAAATCTTCTGGCTTACTTCCTCAGTCACTAACACCACAAAAAAAGATCAAAGCCATGTGTAGTAAAACAAGACACAGATTTCTCTGTACCACTGTGGCATTACTCTATCTCATTTGCTTGACCAAAAAAGTGAAGGCATTCTCAAATACTGTCAGCAATTTTTCATGGAAGGAGTTCGAAGACTACAAGGATAGCGAGCAGTACAGAGCTTCTAAGAAAGCTAGGTGACATATAGAACTCCAACACAACTCATAATACAGCAATAGCTTTAAACACTTTCCTCCTCCACCACATATCAACAGTCACAAACTACTGCCATTAATGACAGAGGAAGAGAGTTCTCTATTCATTTACTGATAAATACTTTGGTTTCATTTAAATAACTGGTTTAAGTAATTTAGATTAACCTGACTGATTTTTGCCTAAAGAAAATTGGAGATCACACAGACAAGTGGCTCTATTAGCTGAGCAGTGGGACTAGTAACTCCTGACAAAAGGGCAATAAAATTGATGAACCAGAATATTTTAATAGCTGTACATTTCACTAGTTCACCATCTGTCAGTTAGCACAAGACAATTTTCAACACTTATTCCAAGAATATAATGTCAGAATAGCACAATACAAAGAAATCAAGGTGGTTCTGAGCAAGATTGCTCAGATCCCAGGAACAGTCAAACTTGTGCATTATCTACATTAAGGACCTCTTTACAGCTTAAATTTTTTTATACATTTCTCTGTAGTTAACAAAATACGCAAGTTAGAGATGTAGTCAACGAAATACGTAAAGCGGGGGCTGTCAAGGTCACCAGGCGTAACGAGGCGCAATCTGTGTGGGCCCCTTGCGTGGTTAGCTAATACGTGAAAGGGGGGCTGTGGAAGTCATCAGCCTCTGCGGGGGCTCCTTGACTCATAAGAAAACCATGATGAGACATGGCAAGACAAGACATGCCACACGTCTATTGGGCATAGATAACCATAGCAAGGGTGATTGGTGGCACTGTGATATAAGGGACAACTATAAGAAGAGTGTGTTGCTTGCAATAAACGCCATTTGCCGCTCACCACATTGGTGTCATAAAGCGTGTGATTTGGCCGGGGCTGTCTGAGCACTTCACGACGGGACGTTAATCAGAGGTTGCCGAAGCAAAGGCAACATTTCTCACAACTGTAGTGACTGAAATTCAACAATGGACACCAATCACCACAGTGAACAAGTATGAAGAAGAAAAACAGTACAAAGATAACTCTTGGATTATAGAGCAGAAGAACTCAAACTCATACTTAAGCAACAGACAGCTTTGTGGAATTAATGATTTGTCAGATTATGTTTCATAAATAA